CGTCACTTTCTGTTCTGAAGAACAAAGCCTTTCTCTTCTATATAACTAACTTACTCCGCAAACTGTAATCTAGGGTTTTTGCGCAATAAAGAGAAACAGCTGCAGTAACACTGGTACCAACTGAGAACATCCTCTACAATAAAAAAAAAAAAAAAAAAAAATGTGGTGCATCAAGTTCTGATCATTTCCATGTTGCCTGTGCAGCCTGTGTTCATTATGTTGTGCAGGGTTAGCACCTTGCCAGGATTGTCAGGATCAGCATGGCTCTCTAACTGTCCCTACTTTTTATTACATATTTCAGTTTTATATAAAAAGAAATGCATCTGGTCAACGATGGCATAGGGTAAGGCATAAAACTCCTTTTTTAAGTGCGGTTTTAATGTGCTGCTATATATGACAGGATAATTTATTTAACAGCTCCTTGTGTTGTGGATATCTGTATAAAGGGGAAATCTTAGGGGTAGTAGACAGGAATCGTTCAGGGTCAAGACTGCACGCATTTAGTGTGTCGGTGTTGAGTGTAGTCTACTTGGCCCCACATAAATGGATGTGTTTTCTCATTCAGAAACAAGTCAGTCAACTGAAATGGAACCAAAAGGATGAGTTCTCTTCTAAGACACCAAAGTCCTGTGCGTTTGTCTCCAATATCTTTTCTATGGAATCTTCATTCTGATACCGAGTAAGGTTTGCTGATAGCAAAATTCTGCTTACTGTACAAACAGCAGACATTGTAATAGAATGTAGCGAGAAATTAAGATCATTTGCCCATCTTTTTTATTAATCATCTTTCTACAGCACAGTGTCCCTGCTTTTCTTGGGAAACAAACATACACAGCCCTGCTATTTTTTTTTTTAGAGGGAGTGAAAGAAACCGCCTGAAGTTTGCTGTGGAAAGGTATGAACATTTATTTAGTCTGATTTACTTCACATTCACAACTCAGCATCAGGATTTTATACTTCTCCTGGCACTGCTACTTTACTCAATAAATCATTATCAATCAGGCACAGAGGTTTTAGTTTCAGTTGAAATAGTGAACTCTAAGCCATCACAGCAACAGCATTAGAAACTTACTGCCTAGAGCAATTTGAGGTACAGCTTTCTGTCTCTTAGGTTAGAGGCACATTTAAGATTTCATCCTTCGCTTAAATACATGTTAGAAACTTTTTGGTTGTAATGTCTTTCCGTCTGAGCGTGCCAAAACCTTTACCCCACTTGCTACATTTTCATTAAAAATACAAGGCAGTTAATATCAAAGTGGTATTGCAGGCAGGTGCAGGCCTGGGTATACATATACATACAAACACCCACTTTTCAATGCGTTTCTGGAATGAAAGAAATTTCTTGGGTACAGGGCAGTAAATGGTGAATAGAGTTGTACTACCATGATCACAAAGTCTACAGTGAGCTCTACCTCACAGGAATTAATGACACTGAAGGTACACTTCTTCAGCCGTATCAACCAGCATTTCCTATTTCCCGCCTCGTGGTTTACAGTGTAGTACAAAAGTCATGATAACAACAGCCAGTAACAGCCAAAATAGTGCACGTTTTCTAGAAACAGACAAAAAAAATAAGCTTCTTGGTAGTTTTTCTACTCTTGCAACACCAAAATGGCATTAACAGTGTCTTGTTTTAAACAGTGAACAGAAATTAAGATTTGAAAATGTGTACATATATATACACACACACATACATATATATACACACTTGTATGTCAGTATTCTGTACACAGAAGTTAAAGATACATACTCACACCCCAAAATTGCTCTTGAAAGTTATTAAAGAAGGATGGTCAGAGCCGTCCCTACTGACTACAGTTACAGTAAGGCAACTGTGCAGAGTGGAGAATATTTTTAAATTAACATTTAGTACCTGTCTTTTGAAAGTGAATTAAAAAAAAAAATTAAGATGTTTAACATTGAGGAAGAAACAGCACACACAGGCACACGCGCGCACACACACACACGCGCACACACACACACACAGTAGTTGTTCCAGTTTCTCGGCAGGCAAGTCCCATGCGAACACAAGGAAGCAGAACCTTGTCTACATTTCCAGGGGAACGTGGCTGGCCCCCCCCCTTCCTCCCCACAGGAGGTGCCCCCGTCTCTCCTCCCCTGTGCTTGTTGCCATCTTGGCCTCTGCTTGCCTACCTCCCCTTTTGAACTGTGTAAATTTCTTTTTAACATCTGTTTGGCAAATAGGTATTTAGACAGGTTTTGTTCATTATAAAGGCATATTATTTTTAACTCAACTCCCTCCCATGCTATATATATAAAATACAAAGACCATCTGCAGCATCTGTACACATCTTAGAACTGAAATGTAAAAATGTCTGAAATCTCCTTATTAAAAGACAATCCTGTTTAAATATAGTACCCATTTTTTCCCCCAAAGGGTACTAGCCTAAACATTAATATTTTTTTATTCCACCAGCTGCCTGTGTGGAGCAATTTATTTACACATTTTTGGTACCTTTAAACCAAAAAAGTTATACTTTCAAGGAAAAAAAAAAAAGAAAAAGACACCATAGTTTTAACTGTAATTTTAAAATAAGAAAAAAGAATTGGTACCAAAAGACACTAAGCACACAGGTTGAGGTCTTTTATGTCAAGTATCAGGCTAGGGAAAGCAGTAAGCTAATGAAAAAAAAAAAAATCACAAAAGCAAACATTTTAATAATGACTTGAACAAGTTAGTTAGACGACTGCTCCAGCAAGCTTGTAAATAAACACAACTAGTTTGTGGACCATTTAACATGCTCAGACCATCCTGCAGCATAATTAGGCAATTGAGGTGAATACACGTTTTTTCCTCACAAACAGTTGACCAGAACCAAGCTGGCATTATGGCGTAACATGCATGTGCACATCCGCATGCAGACACATGGCCACATGCGTGCACGCGCGCGCACACACACACATTCGGCTGCTTTACATAAAAACAGGTTTTCAGGCATTTGGTTAGTTAAAAAAGGAAGCCTACCCCACCCCTCCCACCAGCCCACCTTTACCATGAAGCTGCCTGCGTACCCCCAGCAAACCAGTCACAGTGCAGGAAAGCAGCACAGCCCGTGCCCCCCTGCAGCTTTGTACGTTGGCTCATTTTGAGCCCGGGGAAAACAGGGTGCTGTACGCACTGGACTTTTCTAGCACAAAGCCTGCACCTGTAAGGCCACTCCAGATGCATATTCTCCAAAATAAATGCTTGAGCCATCTTGGACAGCCAAAACCCACACTATCATTTAGGCTGTGCTGAAGACCAGTTTGGTTTTACAAACAAAAGCAGAGCTCCAAATCCTGTCCCTCCCTGCCCTTTTTTAAACTCTAATGCATATTACCACCATACAGCTTCCCCCCGCCCCAGCCCCGATAACTGAGAATGGCTTCTAGTCTATCACATAAGGCCTTCGGTGCCTTCACTTGTGAGTCACACCTGAATTAGAGGCTTAATGTTGTTTCAATAACGTCTGTGTTTTGTGCAGAAATCGGATAATGTAAAATACAGCCTCACTGTTAAAGAGAAGGTAGTCACCAGCAGCCTTAACCTGTAAGAATGACACACGACCATTCCTCCACCCTCCCCGTATACTTCACTCTCTTGCTTTTCTCCCTGTGAATCTTGAGGCTTTTCCTGCCACAGCATCCAGGGGAGAGGTATCATTTAAAAGGTTTTAGAGCAAAGAGGAGGATTCTGCATTACGCAGAGGGAGGCTGTCGGATTTAATTCCCTCAAGCAATGCTCATCCATTGCACTGTCCATATGGACACACATGTATGTAAAAAGAAGGCACCACTAACCCCTCCTTCCAGCGCCTGCTTCCAAGGGACAACAGCAGGATTTGGCCTCTTGGAGCATGGCCTCCTTTCTGGAGCCCAGTAGGACTCGAGCATGAATTCTGCTGAAAGCTACTTCATCCTACAACAGGATGAGGAGAGGGTCTGCAGGGATCAGGATCCGTGCAGGGATATAATGGTGAGTATTTGAGGTGCTTATATAAAAATGTGAGGTGCTCATGAGACTTACAAACATGTTTACCCTTAAAGAGGAAAAAACCTGTTGTCTCTTGAGCTGGCTGCCTGCTGTTTCCAGAAACGGAGAGGGGGAAGTGGGGGATGGAACAAGAACCTACCGTAACTATCTAGTGTAAAAAGCTGGGGGGGTCAGCTGCATTAGAGTAATCTTGCTACTGTTTCCTCCCAATTAAAGGCACTTCTAGAGCTACTACAAGACCATTATCTACAGTAATAGTTAGAAGGTTAACAGTGCATTGTCCTGAAGTTGATTCCTATAGTCTAAAGTCAAACTCATAACGGAGAACACAAATCTGACTGTTAGTGAATATATTTTGGGGAGAGAAAGAAAAGGGAAACAAAGATCTGTCTCAAATGCTTATTTGAGACGCAGAACTCCAAATAATAAAGATCACATAGTTCAAATGTCTAGGAGAATGGAAGAAAC